AGTTCTGGAATATCCATCCTTTTTGTCTGCAAAATAATCAAAGATAACGACAGAGATAAGCAAAACAAGCTAAATCTAACAAAGCTTTCAACTTTCATTAGCGGGAACTCACATAGAAGTTAGAACACAAGCTAAATCAGTCACGCTTTAATTGTAACTCTGGACGACTTAGAAGACGACTTAAAATTAAGTCGTCAGGAAAGACTTTCAATTGGACGAATTAACAGACGACTTATAATTAAATCGTCTGGAAAGTCGTCCAGCTAGAAGACTTATAATTAAGTCGTCTACTAAGTCGTTCAGTTGGAAGACTTTCCAGACGACTAAATTATAAGTCGTCCAGTATAACATTTTAAAGCAGACCTGTTTAGACGGAGAAGAAGTAGTCGCCATCGATATAGCGGTTATATTTCTGAAAAAATAAACGTGAAAAAAGAAGCTCGGTGAGAACGAGTATAAAAATGGTTAGAGACAACGTTTATGTTCATCTTTTCCTCAATCAATCCCTCGACAGTAAGATATATGACTTACCGGCGTTAGGGTTTAAGCGGTGGTGAGAGAAACGGCTTTTGGAATTCTGAATTTCGAGAAAAAATGACAACGAGTATAAAAATGGTTAGAGACAACGTTTATGTTCATCTTTTCCTCAATCAATCCCTCGACAGTAAGAGATATGACTTACCGGCGTTAGGGTTTACAAAGAAACGGCGCTAGGGTTTAAAGGAAGCGGCGGTGAGAGCGTTGATGAGCACGGTGGTGAGAACGGTGAGAACGATGATGGAATAGATAACCGGCGGTGAGACGATGGTTTGCTCGGAAATCGTCGGAAATCGCCTTTGAGAGAAATGGTTGGGTAAATAAACCGGCTAGGTTAAAAAGTACATTGGTAAAATTAAAGGTTCGGTCCGGTTTGGACGACTTACTAGTAAGTCGTCTGTCGGATAATGTACATCGGACGACTTAATATTTACTCGTCTATATTTCGACGACTTATAATTAAGTCGTCTGACAAATCTTCCGGCTGGATGACTTTCCAGACGACTTAAATATTTAAGTCGTCCAGGCTTTATGAGTATGTTTTAAGAATTTGTGTTAGATTTTGTGTTAGACTTTTTAGACGGCTAATATTTAAGTCGTCTGACAAATCTTCCGGCTGGATGACTTTCCGGACGACTTAATTATAAGTCTTCTATATACAAACAACTAAATATTAAGTCGTCCGATGTACATTATCCGACATACGACTAATTATAATAGTTGATCTTCCATTACAAGTCAAAGGTTTAAAAACATTTTGAAACAAGGGAACAACAACATAGAAGTCATCCATTACAAGTCCACTAGAAGCTGATTACAAAAAGACAATAGCAAGACAAACAACATCTCATTTAGGAAGAGACGAGGAAGTTGAGGCACCATCCGCAGCATCATCCACTTGAGGAGGACCGAAAGGAGTCATATGAAACACCATGTCTCCTTCCTTTTTGAACACGACAATGTCACCGATGCAAAGGGAGTGTGCTTGGGCGAAGGCTTTCCAACCATCGGTGAGTGTTCTTCCTTCTTGTATAACTTTCCAAGTTTGGTGTGAAGCGTCCGATCGAAGTGTCCATTTTCCTTGGTTCGGCTTGCCTTCTATGTGTGTTTGAGTAGAAGGCAAGTGGTATTGTCTACAAGTCAACAAAGGAGAAGTTAAGCAAAGGAAATAAACAGAGGAGAAATAGAGAGCGTGTGTATACCACGCCACTGCAGAAACCAGGAAGCAGAGGCTTCAAGAAGTGAGGTTCATGCTGATTCGCCATCTGCAAACAAGAAACGAAATGGAAACATTTTAATTCTAAGTCTGGAAGACTTATATTAAGTCGTCTGGGTCGTCCACCTGGAAGATTTTCCATACGACTTATATTAAGTCGTCTGGGTCGTCCACCTGGAAGACTTTCCAGACGACTTAATTATAAGTCTACCAAGACTTCCAGTAGAACATTTGAAAGCTGACCAGACGAATGAGAGGAGAACAACATCCAACCTAACTAGACCACAAATCGATTGAAATCCCCAATCTTTGAAACCCTAATTTGAAATGAAAATATCCACAAATTGCTTGAAATCACAAATCGTAACCGTGAAATGAGAGGAAAACAACATCCAACCCAACTAAACAACAAATCGATTGAAATCCCCAATTTTTGAAACCCTAATTTGAAACTAAAATTTCTCGAAGTCGTTCAAAACACAAAACCAAACGGTAAAAGTAAAGGAAAACAACATCCATCCTAATAAAAACCCATAAATCTGCAAGAGAAGCCTTCGATTTTGCCTTGGTCTTGTATCGGATCGAAATCGCCTCGAAATCACCTTTGAGAGAAACGGCGTTAGGGTTTTCTGAATTTCGCGAAAAAGTGAGTAAAAAAAAACATCTTATGTATGTCCGGTCAAAAATACGGTTAGGTTTAAAAGTAATTTCGTAAAATCCGGTTTGGACGACTTATAATTAAGTCGTCTATTGATACTATAAGACGACTAAGTCGTCTGCCTTATTAAATATATTTACCAGACGACTTAATTATAAGTCGTCCAGACCCTAAACCCTAAACTAAATTAACTAACTAACCACGTTATATAATCAAATTATACTTAAATATTGTTGTTTATTTCTTAGGTAAATTTTTAATTTTTCAAAAAAAACATTTATGCTTTCGAAAATCTAATCCTAAGAAACACATACAATACTACAACATATGTTGGTGAAACCTAAACTAAAGAATATCATGACTCACTACTTTCACTCATCTATGCTGAAAACAACTGACTTTTGTTATATCTTAATTTATATCTCTTAAGACATATGTTAATTACATAATTCCAATTTTTCATTTATCAAAATATTTATTACACAATTTTTAAATTATTTTTAAGAAAAAACTGTCTCAGACGATTTGCGAGGGCTAGAAACGTAAAAAATACATTTTTTGTTTGTTCACAAGGGGTTGGTTGTAATTTCAATAGCCTTTTAAGTTACTTTTGCATTTGATTCAAGTTTGGGTTTACTTTTGCATTTCAAATCAAGTTTTGAGTCATATTTGGCAATTTTCCCTTATAATTATTTGTATCTTATAATAAAAATTTAAACCATTGATCACAAAAAAAATTATTTGAGATATTTAACAATTTAGTAATTTATACTGTTTTTAAAAATTCAAAAGACAGTATATACGAAAATATAATTTTTTATTGTATAAATAGTGTAATTGTTTAAATTATTTTAATAACAAATATTTAAACAAAAAATGGTAGAGAGTATAAAAATTATTAGCAAATCTTTACTACGGAAATTATTAATTGTCATATATCTTTTAATCACATTAGGTAATTCTGTGGCTTTTATTTAATGAAATAATGAATAATAAATTTTTAATATTAATAAGATATGTGACCAACATCTTTCTAATAAATATGTGTTTAAACTATAATATATATAAGATGCTCTATAATTATGTTAAATAGAATTTAGAATGCAAAGATATATGACACATAGGATTGAAGTTATTTTTAATTAATACCAATTTAAGATTACAAATTTTAAATGATTTCCAAATAATATATAGGGGAGTTAGGACTTAACAAACTCCCAACTAAGAGTTAAAGATAAGAAAGTGCCTGACGATGTATTGTCTTCATTTGATGCCCAATAAACCTCAGGAAGACTACTGATTCTTCCTTATTTCAAAACAAACTTAGAAAAAAAAATCTTTGCCAAAAAATCTGCCACTCAAGTCCACATCATGAAAACGGCAAAAATAATAGGAGAGAAACAAAAGAATTAGGGCAAAAAATGGTTGTTGATAGGATCAGAAATTATCATATCAAATAATGACACTGATTCCACATTAACTAGGTACTAGTAAGTAGTAACTAAGCAAAAACCACTGTGAAGATACAAAAGAGGCCCGGGCCTAAATGGTTTTGGGGAAACTGTTTTTTTAGACCAAATAGGTTTGGATATTGTCTCTTTAGGCTAAATTATATTTTGTACCAATTTTGACTCTAATGCCCTTTATGTATTTTCGAAATTATTAAAAAAATAGATTTATGAAGCAAATTTTTTTTAAAAAATAGTACATAATGATGAAATCTCTATATCTATATAGTGATATTTTTTTCTTGTTTTAAAAATATGTAAATAATAATTTCATATATCTATTCTACCGAAATTAGAATATGTATTCTACGGATTAGAATACGGAATCCACTTTTTTCACTATTTCTACGAATTGCAGAATATGTTTTCTACAGAGATAGCATGAAT